GTATTTTGATCAATTTTATGCCGCCTGATGAAAAGCAATGTAATATTTTAGGCAGAAAAAAAAAGGAACTGTGGTCCAAACGCAAGGCTAAGAGGGAGGAAATTATTCAAAAGACGAGGGACCCTGGGAATAAACAGAGAAATCACAATTCTTAGGATGATGTACTACGGAGAGGCACATTACTTCAGACTTCATCACTAACAGTCAAATATTCAGTCTACTACACTCTCATTAACTGTCCTCCCTCTTTCTCCCATTTAGAACTGTTCACTGTGACAAATTTTATCGTTTGATCAATCTTACAGAAGTTTACGTCTCTTGAATAAACAAATATGGAAACTAATTTTTATCAGCACAGGTTAGAATTAGCACATTTATAGCTATAGATAAAGTAAACTTGGTTTATAAATTCCAAGTAAAGTTATAATAAGTAAATTTTAATACAAACCAGTTCAAGATTTTTTTTCAAATTAAAATTTAGGGCCTACAAACTTTCTTATGAAAGCATGTGGTATTTTGTATTAAATGTTGTGTTATTCCATTACTTAGAAATCCTTTCAGAAAGTTCTCTTTCCTTAAGTACTGTAATATTGACTGGTCAATGCTGAGCTCAGAGTAGTTGCGGAGAATCAATATTGGCTTAGCTACAGCTTGGCAAAGCCAAGGGTGTAAACTAATGAGAGCTATTGGACCAGAAAAACCATCCTAAGACCAAAGGCTCTTTTTAAAAGTATAGCAAATACAAGATATGTTCAATCCTAAAGAAACAATATAAAATTTCTTCCAAAAAACTCTCAACTCTCCATGTACGTATTATTTAAATCATCTACAAAATACAAAAAAAAACAAACAAAACAATAATCATGATTGTGCTTCTCAAGACCCAAAAATGTTAAATTACTTTACCAATGTTACCCAGTAAATCAGTGTAAAAGTTTGGGTAAGAATTTTTTCATCATATATTTAATCTACTATGCAGATAAAGTTAAATATAAACCTCTAAAGACTAATAGTAACATATAACCATTAAAGAAATTAAACCCAATTTTCTAAAATTTCAAATAATTGTACCTACTCTGTTGTTTATATACGTTATTTTTTTACACATTTCCTATTAATGTACACATGTCATTCTATATTTTTCTGTGATTCCTCAATATAAGCCTCCTACCATTTTCCCTCATGCTGGACAAAAGGAAACCAATCTAATCCCACTCACTTGAGAATGCTCACCAGGGCATTTGTGTTTTAATATAGTGAAGTTTTTAGTTCATCTTTCCTTCCCAAACAAGTGCATATCTTCTGTTCTTGACTTAGCCCTAAAGAACTAATGGATATACGACTTTAGAACTAATGTGCTAGTTCATTAGCTAGTTAAAACAATAACTTCATACTTCTCTTGATTAGTAAAATCAAGTTTAAAGAATCATTAATGAAACAAAAAAATGATCTAATCTACAACAGAGTGTCTGCTACCACATCTTACCTTCTAACTATTAATTGCATATGAATGGAGCCAGACTGCTGCTGATAGAATATTCCTTTTCTTTTCATAGACTGCTTCCAGAAAAATAGATCACTACCCTGTTATAGATCTCATATTTCGAGAGGTACGTGGAGATTCTAAAGTATGATTTGTGAATAATAAAATTTTTATTTTGATTAGTGTCTAGGAAAATCCTCAGGTCATATTTAGTAATCAAATGCATTACTGAATGTAATTCAGAATAGGTACACTTCAAAAAAATTATTTATTTTATAGTTTCAAGTATACAGTACATTGGTTAGACATCTATACAGTTCATAAAACTATTCCAATTGCTTCCTCCCTCCACCCAGCCAACATATTAATGCTAAGTGCATTCCTTATGCTGTGTTCCCCATCTCCGTGACCATCCATCAGCTACTAATTTGTACTTCTTTAACCCTTTGCCCCATTCTCCCAGCTCCCCAAAGGGAAGTCGTCCATCATTATTTCTTCAAACAGCTGTTCAACATCTTGATTTTCTTCAGTTACACCGATCAGACAGATATTTGGACCCTTAATGGTGTCCCATATACTCCTTAAATTATTTTCATAGTCTTGGCATCTTATCTCTTGCCATTCTGATTGCGTGTCCTTGGCTTTCCCATCCTCTAGGTAGGGCATTTGATTCTTTTTTTATTCACTTTGTTTATTCCATTCAATATACTTCTCATCTCAGATAATGTGTTCTTTTCAGACTGGTTCCATTTTATAATTTCCATTTCCATTTTTATGCTTTTTATCTCTTTGTTGAAGTTCTCACTGAATTTATCTACACTTCTCAAAAGTTCATTGAGCATCTTTATAACCAGTGTTTTGAATCCTGCATCTGTTAGATTACTTGACTCCATTGTTTCTGGATCTCTGTTCTCTTCTCTCATATCATTTCTGCTTCTTTGTCTTCCCATTTTGGCTGCCTTTCCATGTCTATTTCTATGTCCTAAGCAAAGCTCCTAAGTCTCCCGGTTTTATTAGTGTGGATTTGTGAAGTAGGTGTTTGTCTGGTGACACAGTCCTGAGAGAGGTTCAGCTGCAGGCCAAACTTAGCCCAAGTCTCTACCCCTCTAGGGCCACCCGTTAAGATTCAGCAAGCAATCTATAGATGCTATGCTTATAGTTGCCTCAAAAGGCCACACCAGAAACTGAGGCCAGCTGCCACCAGTGTGAGTCTAGGCACTGCTCAGCAAGGAGCACCTGACTTATTGAGGACACACCTGGATGTGACTTGTGTGGGGTCGTGAGTTGGGGGAGGTGGGGTTTCAGGGAATCCTCTGGGCGGAGCGATCTCTGTTATCCAGTTTGATGTTGTCAGGGCCATGGCGGCACTGTGTCTGTGAACTGGGAGTTGGGGGTGCTCAACAGAGGAACAATAGATACCACAGGCACTTCTGTACAGAACTAGTCTCTCCTCGGTCCTCATTCCGATAATGTCTCCCTGTAAGTCAGTGGTGCCCCCTGTGCGCAGCCAAATCAGCACTGGTGCTCAGAGCGAGCAGGTCCATCACTGAGAAAATCCACTCGTGAACGTGGCCCCTTTAAGAGGTGTCTGTCGCTGCTGCAGCCTTGGTCTCACTTATCCCGTTGGGATTGGGCAGCCCCGTGACCTTGCGCTGTCCTACCTTCTGCCGTTGCAGGGTGATTTCTTGAACTTCTCCCTAGTTGTATGGCTTGTTCATCTAGATTCCAGGCGATTTTTCCTCGCTGTTTGCTCCTTGTTTCCGTCAGAACTTTGATTTGTTCGCCAGAGGGATGAACAGAGCTTCTATCATCTATAACATTTTTCTCTCTTCTCACCCTGTACTATAGCATTTTCAGTTTTAGAATTTTCATCTCTCTGTTAACACTGCCTGTTCTTGCATGCTACCTACTTTAGCTATTACAGTGTTTAATGTATTAATCATAGCTGTTTTAAATTCCTTGTCTGCTAATTCTAACATCCCTGCCATATCTGGTCTTGTTCTGGTGTTTGCTGTCTTTAGTATATGTGCTGCTAAAGCGAGCACAGTGATCTCTTTGCCTTTTATTATGCTTTGTAATACTTTGATAGCTGGACATGATGTACTGGGTAAATTGAACTGCTGTGAACAGGTCTTTTGTAATGTGGTGTGGTAAATTGAGAGAAGTGTTTTATAGTCCTACAAATAGCCTCCATCTTTTAGTGAGCGTGAGCCTGAATCTCTGGTCTGTGAACTTCACCTGTGCTTTTCAATCCCCCTACTCCCTTTAGGTGGGGAAGAATGACTAGAGTGGGTTGAAGTTGGTTGGGTATTTCTCTTCCTTCATGTAGAAGGCTGGAGGCAGCTGGAGTTGAGTATTTCCCTTTCTCAGGTCATTTAGGCTCTGGTTAAACAGTATATCCTGAGGGCAGATTTGTTAAGAACAGAACACTCTGGCATATTTCAAAATGGTTCCATTGCCTTCCCCCTGCCAGAAACACAGATTTTTCTCCTGATATTCACTGTGAGAATCTGGTAGAGCTACAGGAGATAAAACTCAAAAAAGTGTGTGTGGGGGCGTGCAATGACTGGGTTCCCCTGGAGTTTTCTCAGACATCCACACACAGGCTTCAGCAGTTTGTCAATTATAGTTATTCAATTTTTCCTACCTCAGCACTGTGGACATTTTAGCTTGTGGGTTTCTGCTCTGGTTAAGTTGTGTTCTGTCAGTCTCTCTAATTGTAGCAGTAGTTTGCCTTGTGACTTCACTTCTCTTACAGATCTAAGAGTTGATTTTTCAGTTTGTTCAGCTTTTTACTTAGGATGGAGAGGCGACTTCCAAGCTTATGTGCTAGACTGGAAACAAAGTATGCACTGAATCTTTAAATTTGGGAATAACTGCCATCTGTACTGTGTTATGTGTTCTTATCTGGAAAAATGAAATATTCCTCCACTTTAGACCTTCTTTAATATCTTTCAGTAGTTTTAAAATTTTCTGCATAAAGGTCTTACATATCTTGTCAGGCTGCCATAACGAAATACCATATACTAAATGCCTTAAACAAGAGAAATTTATTTTCTCAATTTTGGAGGCTGGAAGTGTAAGATTAGGGTACCAGCCTCCTGGATTGTGGTGGGAACTCTCTTCCTGTCTCGCATGTGGCTGCCTTCCTGCTGTGTCCTCACATGTCAGATAGAGAGCTCTCATTGTTTCTTCTCATAAGTGCACCAGTTGTACTGGATCAGGGTTCCACCCTTAAGACCTTATTTGACTTTAAGCACCCCCTTCTCTCTAATACAGTCGCCTGAGAGGACTTCCACATATGAATTTCAAGAAGGACATAATTCAGTCCATTGCACATTTTGTTATAGTCCTAAATACTAAATATTTGTATGCTATGATAGATGATTTTTCTTGTCTTATCATACTTTCGTGTTTTATAGTAAATGGACATGTAATTAATTTTTGTGTATTAATTTTATATGAACTTTTTTGTGTACTGATCTGTTAAGCATATAACAGATCTAAGAATATCAAATTTCAACTTTTTTGAAAATTTCTTTACTTCAGAATCATTGCTACACAATCACATAATCCTCAAAATCAGAGTTTACAAGTGATCATCATGAGATCCTTTATCCATATGCACATTCGCTAGACACTGGGAAAAAAAATCTGTACAATATTTTAGTAGTTACATGATTTATAAGCAATAGTGAATTAGTGAAAGATGAAAAACTCCCAAAGCATTACTCGTAGAATAACCACTTACAAATACAAGAAGCTAGGCAATAAAGGAAAATTTTCTATTCAGTCACAGAAAAATGCTAAAGGCATTTTATGATGAGAAAAATACTTTAAGTTAGTATACAACCTATTGGTCAAATAAAACTGCTCCATAAGTTGGTACTTTTGTTCTTGAATATCTGTAGTATGGTATTATCCATTTATCTGACATTTAATACTACATAAAATTTCAAATCTGGGTTCTCAAAACAATTGCTGATATTTTTGAATAGTGTCTGGTATACTCAGAGTGCTTTTTTCATTTATCTTTTCTTTCATAAGGTTTAGTGGGACTGTGCAATGCTGGAGCAATAATCTAGAATGTCTTGAATAGTGAATTCCATTGTAACACCAGATCCAGGATAACAGCGAGCTATCAGACCTTCAAAGTGCTTGTACTGGCGTATAAATTCATCTTGCATGGAGTGCCACACCACCTATTATAAAAATGAAAATAAAACTCATTAAACTAGGAATGGAATTAATACATAATCAAGTATGTAGAAACAATGTTAAGACATGTTTTAAGAATTTAGCCAAGTGTAATACTTCAAAATGTGTATCCTAGTTCCTTCTATTTACAAGATATGGGATATTGCCACTCTGTACCTCAAATTCTTCATCTGTAAACCAGGATGATAATACCTTCCTAAGTTTCTTGTGAGGATTAAATGAGTGAATTATGTGAAGTGTTTAGAACAGTGTTTGACACAGTAAGCACTCACTACATTTTAGCTATTATTATATCTACTACAATATCTAACACAGATGTGGAAATACACAGTTATGTATGGAACCAAGACTGTGATTAAATGAAATGCAATAGTTCATGCTTAAATTTCATTTCGAATAAAAGTTTAAAAATTTCTTTGCCTAAAATGGAAGATGCAAAACAATGCTTGATGCCATGGAAGACACCAAGAGAGACAAATGGATTATCTGTAATCCAAGGAATTTATAATCTAGCAGTGGAAAATAATATGTTGACAACCATCAAGATAGAATCTGATACACACATTGACATATTGGCTAATACTAATAGGTTACATTTATTGACACTCTATATCAGCACAGTACAAAGTGCTTTATGTATATGTTATCTTATTTTAATCTTATCATAACCTGGTGAAGAAAGGTATTCTGATCATCATCCCTATCTGACAGTTGAAGGAATGTATTCTTTTAGGATTTTTCCTTATAAATCTTAAATCTTATAAATCCAAAATTCCTGTCAATTTAAGACTATTAATAGTATTACACATTTTGCTTTTCAACTTTTAGCTCATGGTTATTTCTTCCACCTGGAATGCCACTTCTCCCACTTTATCTGTTAAATTACTATCTGACTTTCAGAGGCTAACATAAATCTAATATTACACATGAAGCCCTTGAAGATGTTGAAATCAGAATTATTCTCATTCATTTCTGTGTCTTTGGTATGGTTTATAAAGAATGGCTCAATTTGGGATTTAAATCTGGCTCTACCATCCATCAGCTCTGGGGTCTTGGTCATATAACTCCACCTCTCTAAGGTTTGATTTTTCTCATCTATAAAATGTCAATGACAATAATAGTAATGTCTGCTATTATTGTCTACTATATGAGAGGTACTTATTTCCACTTTTCAAATAAGGAAATTGAGGTTCAGAGAAGCTAACTTGCCCAAAGTCACACATCTTAATCTGGGCACAGATTATGAACCAATTTCTAACTCTAACCCTGATGATGAGAATCACTCCAGTATACTGTACTATATGCTATTTAATTACTCCTCTCAAATCAAAAAAACAATAACAAGAACAAAACCCCTACAAAAACCCATCCCCAAACAAAAAGAAAGCTTAATGCCTCAAAACAATAAAACAGAAATATAAAATAAGCAGAAACAGCCACATAAGTTTATATAAATGTTGTTCATTTCTTCCTTAGAATTCTTTAATCTGGTCTGTACTTCCCTCCTGCACTAAAATTAGAAAATCTGTAGCATTTCCAGAGGAATATTTTGAAAAACAGTAATATACAAAAGTATGTGCAATCTAGGATGATTAAAAAAACTAAGCATACCTGAAGTAAGTTCTCCTCTTCACATAAATGTTTATCAACCTTCTTGTAGAGGTTATCTAGACCTTTTTTCACTTCCTTTCCAGGATACTCTTTAATAACTTTACGAAGTTCTTGTTTGTTAAATGCAAGTTGATAGCTCACTTCCTCCTCTCTTATACCCTGTGCTACACGAGCTTCAACACCTTCGAAGAAATGCTTCAAAGAAATAAAGAGAAATAATGGCCAATAATTGCTTTTATTTTCATATAAATTTAAGAAAAAAATCAATTATAAAATTGTATATATTCATTAGATAAAAACCAGGCAATGTGTAAAAGTATAAAACAATAGAAAAAGTATAAAAGATAAAATAATAATTACCTATTATGATACTATTCAGAGATAACCACTGTTAATATTTTAAATTTCCTTCTAGTCTTTTGATGTGTGGGTATAGAAGAGATTAGAATTTTGTATACTGTATTTTCCATTTAATTTGTTTTTTTCTAAAGTATAAATTTTAATGTCTGCATTATATTCCATCCAATGACTAAACCACAATTTATTCATTTCTCCAGTAATGGATATTTAGTATTTTTCACTTATTTTCCAGCAGCAAAATCTATTCAGAGTTTTAAAAAATCTATTATAAATACAGTTGTCATAAATATCTTTTGTATATAAGTATTTACTTACATTACTGATTACTTTCCAGCATAAATTTCTAAGACTATAATTCCTCGGTTAAGGAGTATACTTATAAGTATTCTGAAGATTCTTCATATACACAAATTGCTTCCAAGAAAAGTTCAATCAGTTTATATTTCTGTCAACAGCATATGAGACTGCTACCTTACCATACTATCAACAGCATTATCGCAATAAAAAATAATTGTTGCCATTTTGATGAGTGAAAAAAGTTTATTTGTTGTTTTATTTCACAATTCTTTGGCTACAAATGAAGTTAACTTGCTTTTGTATGTTTAGTAGTATATTCAGAACCCTTGCCCATTTATAAACTGGGATATTAGTGCTTTTCCTATTGATTTTAAAAAAGATCTTTTCTATTAAATATACTGGCTTATAAATATTCTTCTCAGGTTGTCTTTCAAGTATATTTATTTTTTAAATATGCAATTTTTATCTATTGGCATGCCTTTATTTGAGCACTATACAATATGATTTGATACTGACAAGCCAAATCCCCTTCTATTACTTTTCTCTAAAATTCTCTTAGCAAGTATTATGTGTTTATTCTTCATTATTTTATAATAATTTTTTGACAAGTCTATTTCTGGGGCTTTCAAATTTTTGTTTCACATAAACTTTTATTTGGTTATTATGACATACAGGAAATAAATTGTTTTTTGATATATTTATTTTGAATCCTACCACTTTACCAGAGACCAGTAATTTCAGAATATTATATATAGGTAAATATAATCTTTACTCTCATTGATGTATCTTTTATTTATGTTTTAGGTCTTATTACATTGCTTAGAGCTTTCTTAACAGTGTTAAATAATAAGGGATCTAATAATATTTCTGCTTTAAATATGATTTTAAAGGGAATGCCTCTGATATTACGATTAAGTATCATGTAAAGTTTGATTTTCTTATCTATAAAATGTCAATGACAATAATAGTAATGTCTGCTATTATTGAGACTGCTATTATTGAGACAGACCTTTTATTTTAAAATATCTGTCCTTAAGTTTTATAAGGAGCTGATTCTGCATTTGATTAAATGTCTTTTAAATATTTCTTTGAATTGTTAACAGAAATATATTTTTTATTTAACTAATTTTAAATTAAAATCTTATAAAAGATGTCTAATCACATTGTGGACAAAGTTAGAAGGGTCCATTTAAGCATCTACAGTTAGTCTTAATGTCGTCGGTAGGTTCTGTGACTAAGCAAAATGATGCATAACAAACCAATTTTACCATAGTCTAATTGATATAAAGAGTTAAGTTCCTGGCATCTCATCAATGTTATAATGAAAAGACATCGAATGAAACAATGTTATTAGAGGACCTGCCCGTACTATATTGCAAAGTTTTCTAAAACTATCATTTCTTAATTTTAATGATTGGACTTGCTCTGGGACTGATTCAAGTCAGGAAAGGAAGGGAAAAGGCAATAAACAAAACAATTTTTATTTTATCTCAATAAAGCTTTGAAATTTTCATCTGAACTAAGGATAAAGATTAGCCATTTGTAAGGTAAGAAATGAGAAAGACTGGTATAACAGAAAAGCCTATTCTAGGGTTCATCCTCCAGCTTTGCTACTTGCCAGTTAAAACTTCAAGCAAGTTTTTTTTTTTTTACTTTGTTTCTTCATTTATAAAATAGGAATAATACTATCTTTACCCCATATCATTGTTTATAAGAACAAAAAGAAATAATGTAAGTAGAGTACTTAGCAGTCAGTGTCTTGGCACACTGGCAGTTTCAGTAACTGTGTCCCTTCTTCATTATTCTTCTGCATCAATATATGAGCAAATTTAAGATAAATATCTGTTGTATTCATATACAAACATATATGTATGTGTTCGAAATCAGGAAAAATATACTAAATGAAAATATACTTACATTTAGTTTTTCAAGAGGTTGTCCTAAAGAGTAAATGACGTAAGACTGAAGGTGATCTGTGTATTTTTGTTTGGCTTCTTTTTTTTCAGCTTCTAGACACGAGATTTTCAAACGAGAAAGTGTTGCAAAAATATGGTGAAAGTTTTCCATCATGACTACATCCCTAGGCGTCTTCTGGCTTTCGTTTGCTACTTTCTCCACTAAATCAAAACAGAAAAAATAAAACATCTCGAATATATGCAATCGAATCATTTATTTCAAATTAAATGACATGTTCACACTGTTTCTATACTTCAATTGTGGGATTTGACATAGGAAGACAGTGAATTATAGTATTTTAGCATTAATCTACCTCATGTGACAGATATGAAAAATGAGGCCTAAAGTGACCTGATTTGCTTAAGGTCACACAGACATCACTGCCTGTCACCTCTAGAAGACTCTTGCTAAAATGCAAATGTAATCTGGGAGGTCATTTTTTGTGTTTATAAAAATAAATTCAATTTTGTATAATAAGCCTATATGTACTCTAAAATGTGTTTCCTGATGAATATGAATGGATTTTATATACTGCTTGCTTTTCAAATTTAAGAAATCTTTAATTTCAGAAAACTTAAAAAAAGACTTTAGAATATGAAAAGTAATGAACATACCTGCTTCCCAACTTCTGAGTTATGAGAAATAATAAAAACAACCAACCAAAAAATTCTTTAGGACATAACAAAAGCTTACCATTAACGAATACTCCTCTGATAAGTTTAGTATATGCTTTATCTAGATCTCCACAGCATTTTTAAAGATTGATTCTGCAAGGCCAGCAAATTCTTCAAATTCAGCAACAAATGGAAGAATTCCCACTTTACTCTTCTTTGAGATCTTTACTTCTTCCATTTGCCTTATTTGGTTACTCTAAAGTTAGGCAGAAAACAAGGAAAAGAAATAGCCAAGAAAACTTCTTAGAAGCAACATATATAATTATAACCAAATGTATACATCATAGAGGATCATTTAGTACCTATAACATTTTGGATGCTTACTAATTAAAGATTAATACAATAGAATTAATGAAGAAAAACTACTTCTATAGATTAAAAAGTACATATATTTTAAGAAAATTAAGAAAAAAAATCCAATTTAAAACAAGATGTAATCAAGGCCTGGGAACCTTGTCTTTGTTCAAAGTAAAAACCAATAAACTTTTTATCATTTATAAAAGATAAGTATAAGGTTACTGCCCATTTTGGGGCACAGACGATAAAAGCATCCATAGGATCTCTCCAAGTTACTTCTGGTTGGAGGCCACAGGGCCAATTTTGAGAACCATAACCAGTTCCAATTTTCATTCGCCTAAAATGATTGGATAAGCAAGTTCTGTATTTTTGGGTGTGAGAACAGAGAGGAAAACAGGCACTTCTACTATGGATTTGCATTATATAGTTTTCCATTATCTATTCACAACTTATTCTAAATGAGTTCAGCAAAGTGCTTGCGTATGATGGTGACAAAGTACATAAGAGATGTTTCACATAGAATCCAGACATTTGGGTTCAAAAGATCCATGGATTCAATTATGGTTCTGTGTACCTCTCAGGGCATCTAAATCTATTAGTAGTAAGAATCACACTGCCAAATACTGTTGGATCATTTTCAACTTCTACCTAAAATTTCATTGTGTTGAGATTTTTGGGGTTATAACTTAAAAACCACATGATGTACAGATTAGAAAAGTAATTATTTAGGCTACAGGCATTTCGTATAAGAAAGCCCTGTGAGTACTGTTAACCATTTCCTATTATCTTTACTACTATTCTCCTTCATCAGTATTAATAACTGTGAGGAGTAAAAATGGATGCACTGAGGAGGGTAGTATAAGACTGTAGGCACTGGAACCAAACTGTGGGGGTATGAATATCAACTCCTTCACTTTTTAACTATTGACATGGGGAAAGCAGCATAACTTCTCAGAGTGTCTACCCTGTATGGGAGGGAGGGGGTTGTGAGGATTAGATGAGATGATGTGTGCAAAGTGCTAGATCAGTGCCTGGTACATAGTAAGCACTAATTTGTGAATGCTGGTCTATTGCTATTAAGCTATGGGAAGATTTTTGTTCTGTGGCATTTAAATGCACAGAATGTAATTATAGCCTGAATATACTTGAATATTAATAGGAGATGTTCTGAAGGACAGCTGTCTTCTCGGGCTTTGTAACTAGTAGGGTAAATGGCTCATTTAAAAAAGAGCTATCAACGAACTAAATCTCACAAAAATAAAAATTCAAGCTAAAGTTGCACATAATTTCCAGCTGATTGCCAAATCATACTGCCATCACCAGAAGGACATGTAGGTTATTCAGTGTTTAACACTACGACTTTGATGCTAGCCACATATTATGTTACTTGTCCATCCTTTGTCCATGGCAATTTAACTAAATCATGTCCTTCTCATAGGGTTGGGTACAAGTCTATATCACTATAGTGTGAGGAATCCTGAAAAGCAAATTAAACACAGTTAAGAAATGTACTGGGCTGCAGAGCCTAGCTTGGTAGAACCTGATGTGTCAGTTACTTTCTAATTTTAGCTCTAGCCAGGCTAGGCTAGCTTTCTTAGCTCTGTTCTTTGAAGACCTGGGAACAGTGCCCTTCTTTCTCAGAGCCTTACTCTAAAAGCACCTCCTCATTGTTCTGAATCCTTGCCAATATTTCCATGAGCACCTTTATATTACAAAGTTTTCTGTTAATAATTGCAATCCATATGTCCTAGTGATATTACCCTTTGGTAAAAATGCCTGCTTTGCAGTATTTTGCACATTAGACATTCTTAACATGGCAGCACATTCTGGTTTTGAAGCTTTCCTTTTGTCATTTTTCCTTCTAAGTAAATATTAGTATTTTCTAATTCTGACTTAATTCTGTTATTTGTCATAAGGGGTTTAGTTTAATTCATGAAGTAAAGTTGCATACCTATGATGTAAAAAAACAAAACAAAACAAAAAAAACCCAGACCACCTGGGGTTGAAAAGAGCTAAACTCAGGTGCTATCTCCTCCATTTTCTGCAATTATCTGACATTCATACTTTTGGCTCAATACACACAGACTCATTCATTACTTTTTCAAGGTATGCCCTAGGTCTTGATCTTGTCCCAAATACCAAAATATGTAACACTTACTGAGCACACACAATCTACCAGAAACTGTGAGAAGATACAAGTTAAAATAAGAGACAGAGATGACAAGCAGCCAAAGAAACCGTCCTTCCCTTTAGTGACGGAAGGCAGATCTTTTAGAAACACATGCAATTTATAAGAAAATGTGAGTTTATACCTTTGGCTAGGTTAATTTTACTTTGCTGCCCACTGTCCTGTCTTGAGAGTAATATGAACATTCTTTAATCTTTTAAATTACTAATACTATCACCACCACCTCCACCACCACCATTACGAGCTATCAGTTAATAAGCTCTCATTTTGTGCCAGACAATGTGCTAAGTACTTAATATGAATCCACATCTACCTGATACTACATCTTATGCTTTTAATAATTATGTTCTACTGGGTTGAGAGGTATTATATAAAGTTATATTTTACTGATAAAAGCAACAAAGTCTTCATACTGTGGAAATGTACAGTGTCCTTAAGATTCAGTGTTCCAGCTACGTCACATGGGATTCATTATCTTAGCCTTTGGTAGCCCTTCCTTTTGCTATTAGCTTATAACAGACCTTCTAGGTTTATCATCACCTCTGGAGAAGGTGGGGGAGGGAAGAAGATAAGTAAATGGCCAAATTTCATAGTATTTCAAATAGCAAGTAAAATCATTTGGTAGGGAAGGGGGAGTAACATGCCTACTGAGGGGACCTTTAAGTTTCTACAGTGGAAGCAGACTGCTTTTATACTTTCAAACACTCAATTTTAGTTTTTAAAAGTATAAAAGATGATAAGGATTTTAATAGCCCTTACTATTTTTATCTCCTATTACTCTATGGATATTCATGAGCTGGATATAACTTAAAAGTTACATGGGAGAAATATTCGTGATACATATCCACTTTTACATACTACATACATTAGTAAAAAAAAACTTTTTAGAACCTGGCCAAGCCCAATTCACACCTACAAGCTTACTAAAACCTAAAGACAAAAATAAAGTTGTTAATGATTTTGTTTTTTCTATAGGAGAAAATGATAATTGCTGTAAGTTATTATAAAAACAATTCTTAAGCAATGATTAAGTAAAGCTATTAAACATAAAATTAACAAATTAAATAAGTAATTTAAACAATCAATAGAAATAATCCAATTATTAATTTTCTTATTAGACTATATTAAAATAACAACAATAAATCCAAATGATAGTTTCAATAAATATGGTCACCAATCAGTTAAGTGAGATTTCAGTTACCTAGTGGATCTCTTAAGTAGCTGGAGTCTCTATGCTACCTACTCCAGAATTTGGCAAGATTCACCATGTAGAAGGGAAGTTAACTAGCATAGTACCATCGAACTACCTCTGTTCATGTATATTGTAGCCCACACCCTGCTCAAGGCTTTGGGAGATGTGAACAGTAGCTCCCCCAATGGAAAGCTGTAAATCCCCTGATTTAAATACACTTCCCTATTTTTTGAAATGATTAGAATTTTAAGTTTTTTAAAAAAAACTTACAATGCATTTGTCAAAGTTCCTTTTGACAGTCACCAATACATTTCCCAAAGTAGTACTCAAAAAAGAAGCAGGGTCCACATTTTGTGCAGTCCACACATGATGACTCATTTTGACTAGCATGTAAAGGGAGTTAAAGCTATCAATTTTGTCTCCTAATGCAATTAGGTTGTTCAGTTCTGGCTCAATGCAGCGAAATATTTTGGTCATCATTTGACGAATCATATCTTTCCTGTTCAGAAAACACACAAAATATAGAAAGTTACTACAAGCTTCAGGTGTATTTATCTTTAATCCACTGCATATATACGAAAAGACTAAAAATAATATTTCCATAGTTTTAATGATTTCCCATATAAAAATATTTTCTGAAGTTAAGTTTTATACTCAAAATAACTTTGTCATTTGTAAAGCTGGATTTGAAATGTGCTTTGTGATTTCTGAGAAATACATGGCAATTCAAATGCTACTTCTTACCAGCAAACATCAAAATTGATTGCAATTTTTGTGATTACTAGAGTAAAAGAGAACTGCAAAGACACACAACAGTACCAATTTTCAATTTTAATTCAGTAAGACACATGTTGGTGCTCTGAGTGCTGTCAGGTTACTGAAAACCATCTGGACTCCTCATTGAGCAGCACTCCTCTATGCTCAATGTAAAAGTTTATTTTTTTCCAAAATAAACAACAGAGAGTAACAAACACATACTCAGATGAAACAGGCAGTGGTGCGCCAGAATTAGGTTGCCGTGATAACGTTCCTCCGTCTAGGTCATCTGTTTCAGTCTGCAAAAATTATTCAGGTACTTTACATGATAAAAGACCAACAATTTGACTAGTTTATATAGCAAAAGCCTGCTCAGTCTTAAAATTCCTAGGAAAGAATACATTATGAAAAATAATGATTTTTAAAGGTAGTATTACTGATAAAACTACGTAATTTAGTATGCTGTTTAAGAATGTTCATGAAATGCTTTCTTAGATTTTATCCAAGAATAACTGTGGGGTGAGAAGTTGTGTTTGTATGTGTGCACATGAGGGGAAAGTGAGGGGAGAGAAGGTAAAGGAGGCTGGGAGAGGGGGAGGTCAGAATAGGAAGGTAGCTCAACAAAACCAGAAAACGTCTAGAAACAACTTTCAACAGAGAACTTTAAAAATTAAAGCAAATCTCAGTAATCATTCTAATAAAACTTTGGCATTTAAAAAATGCTATCAAAAATTCTTACAGAAGCTAAGAAGTAAGTAAATGTACTACTATCACCATCTACAATAATACATTCAACCATTTGAGATTTCTCATTCATTTTGTGACTGCTTTTGATGTTCTCTTTTTAAAGATGACCTTAATTTTAAAATCACTTTATTTGGATTGTGCTTTTAAGTTCTTCAAAATGTCCTAGCAAATATTTTCTCATTTTCTTATATTTTTGCCACCTGAGAGGAATGCTAAATAGGCATTATCATATCCAATAAAGAGATGAGGAAACTGGGGATTAAATAATTGGTTAAGGTCTCATAGCTAATTAGTAACAAAGCCATAGAAAGATTCAGATTCGAGGCCTCACCTTTCCTTCCTTTCTTAACTTCCTCCTTCTCTCCCTCCTTTTTCTTTTTCTTTTTTTGCTAGACCATGTATAATAAACATCAAACACCTTTTTTTGAAAATTATATATTTTTCTTGATGATTAATAAAATAATGCTAAAACTGCTTTTCAAATAATTTATTTTTGCAAAGTAAATTCAGACATTACCCTCCACCCCCAATAACTTAGAGAATGTTTAGGCCTAAGATAGATGCCCAAGCTATTACTGTTTTTATTATCTTGTGGTATAACAAAAATGATTTTAAAAGTCCTTACATCATAAATTCTTTCTTTTTCTGTTCTGATATTTAAATTGTGACAACATATTAATTAGGCTAATTATGCTACAGATCATAAATACTAGCCAATAAATAAACATGAGGCATACCATAGTTCCAGGCATACTTTGATGTTGCTGTAGTTTGAAAAATTTACTTATGAAGTCCTGTTCTGCTAGACACAAGGGCTCCAGTTCACTTAGTACCTGTTCAAAGATCTGAAGAAAACCAAAATGAAAGAACTGCACCAAATACTTAAAATAACATTTCACCTTTAATTTATAATTTATGTAGGGACCATAAATGCTTTATCCATAATCGAAAAAGAATCCCCCAAACAAACTCTTCCAAGATTGACAGGACAATGCAGTATTATCAAGGTATAACAGGGCCAGAACATATATAAAATAAAACTCATAATAATTATTCACTTGAAATCTGGAAAGAGGAACACAGAGACAAACTTGTAGCTTATTTAATACATTGCAGAGAACAGTTTACCTTCATGAAAGCTGTTACTTCCTCTTTGTATTTGCTCAGAGAACTTAAATTTGAGATGCAAGTATTTTATGAATTATAACAAACTGTAATAAAGCTACAGTATCATTTAATTGATAATTCACTTTACTTGCTGTTTGACTAGTACTTTTTTCAGATTCAGAATTGGAAAGTAAGACATGGTTAATTGAGAGAGACCAAATCATTGAACATACTTAAAGCAATAAGGAACTAACACTAGAAAACTAATATAAATATTTAAGAAGTACCTGTTATTTTATTTTACCTTATCAAATTTGGTTCTGTCGGCAACATCGAGATCAGAGGCAGACATGTTTCCCATATCCAACAAGGAAGATGACTGAGATCTGCGATTCCCTGAACTCTGAACACTGAGTTTATTTAGACTAGAAGTAGATCCAGTTAATTTCCCAGAACTTCCATGAAGACCTAAGAAATAATAAAACTTTGAAAGTTGTGACCTTCATGAATAGAAGACCCATAGCATAAATCAGGGCTACCTACCACTGTCTCAGTCTTCCAGGGCTCATATAAGTTACTGCACAAGTCTACCACATGGGACAGGCTGTAGTGTCCTTTTCTTTCAGTAACATTTGTGTCCTATTCCTGAGCATATTATAAAGAGTAGTGAAACTAGACAGATCTATAGAAAAAGACTGAAAGGGATCTTAAAGATCACATAACCTATGCCCTGCCCAGTCTCATCATAAAGTTGCTTAATGATAGCTCTAGACTAAAGTAGATGAGAATCTTTCCCATTCAAAAGACATGAATATGGATATACTAGCTAACATGACTTTGTTATATTTCTGAAGAAAACTGCCATATTTCACCATTACTCGCCTCCACGTTAAATCAACATATTAGGTTGAACCATATGAAACTGCTGAACTACATCATTCTTACCCTACAAAAAAGTCAATTATATACAATTCAACTTAATATTTTCCTGAATGCAGAGACTCTGCTTTTATATTAAGTGACTTGATTAACTACAGTTCTTTAAAAACTAAACAAAAAGGAAAAAAACACACTGAAAACTTGTTATATTTACAATACAACTAAAATATAATAATACATCATTAACTATATTAATATGAGACATCTGTTTTTAGGTATAAACACAGGTATCCATCATAGCCAAGAAGAAAAATTAGAACAATATGGCTACATAATATTCTACACATGTCAAGGAATTAAAGGATTCTATTTGTATAAGAAAATGTGAAACTTTGATTCAGAATTAAATATAAATAAAATTTTTTTTATTCTTAAGTCTCTCAGTTAACCTATATTTTTTGCTGATGGTCAGAGGGACAAATGAAGATATGATAAGGACAATTAAAGACAAACTTTGGTTTCATTTCACAAAATCTGACCACATGTAAAAGAATGTTTAGTTTCTAACCATAGCCTGAAAACAGAGGTATACTGGTTAAGACTTTTTGTAATTTTCTGATTGCCCACCATATATTTCTTTGATGTAGCCACACCACTACCATCGTGTCGGTTTTCTTTCACCAATACCTGGCAACTCAGAGCAATCAATATTTTTGGTGTCACTTTTTTCAAGACAAAACTAATTTCTAGACATTAAACAAACTTGAGAATACCTACTAATACACTAAGCATACTCACTCTCTGTTTCCTGTTTGACAGCACTTTCTTTTCGAGGAAGTGTAGCTGTGATGGATTAGGTTGCAAGCATCAAAGACAAAGACAAGTTAATAAACTGCAATTTGCACAAACCATGCACAAGAGGAAGTTAAAGCTCTAGTTTAAAAGACACATGCAAAGAACCATGAGCATCAAGTAACAAGAGGTGCAACATATGTTTAGTTGGTCAGCTACTGTTTGAAAAATTATGAGAAAAAACTTCACTAGTCTTTTAATGTACTATTTGACTCAAGTATTCAGATAAAAATACCTATATTTGTGAAATCACCCTTATATTTTTAAATGATTGTTTTAAGTTTATGTAGCTGGCATACTTAAATTTAAAAGACTGCAAGTTTGGTTTCTGAAGAAAATATGGTTCAAGTAAATAATGTAATACTTAATGTGTAAATTTATTAACGCTATAGATTTAGATATTAAATGCATCAACAATTACGTATTCCCTGAAAGCTCCTGAAAGGAATTTCCACTGTACTAAATAATTTTATACTACATCTGATAAAATTATGAGTGGGTTTTAAAACCATTTCAAAATATCAAGCTGCACTATTTAGTAACTGATTTGTGAACATATAGAAGGTATATATCAAAACACTACCAGATGAGTGGATGGAAGGGTAAAGCCAAGGGAATAGGTTTAATACAGGAATTTGAGCTTTCCAAGGATCATTTAGCATTTCTTTTATTCTAAAACTCCTCTCTATATAATATCAATTCAATTTCAGAGATCATCTTGTGAAACATTTTGTACTCAAATTAGAAGCTGATGTGAAAGTCAAAGAAATTATAGAATGAAACAGAAAATTAAAGAACATAACCTAGAAATATTTTAAAAACAGACAACAATGTGTCAACTGTCACTGCCATACTTCCAGGCAAAAGACCAAGCATAAGCTACTAACTTGTCACATCAATGACAGTGTATCTTTCTAGCCTTGGCTACCTGAAGCTCGAGGAAATATGAAATATAGGCTGGACATTAAAGAGGCAAACAAGGATAATGCTACTAGCTGGCCAATCTGAACAGTACCTTCTGGTGGCCTAAAGGTGTCACTATACTAAGTCACCAGTTCCAGAGCAAGGCCTAATACTTCACATACTTTTTTTTTCAGTAGCCAATAAAGAATACAGTAGTAATCTGGGGCTCATAAAAAGTTTATATTATTTATCAGCAGCAAGCAACAATATTAACATAAACTTTTACATATCTTTAAATAATCCCTACTAGACTACAAACTTCATGAGGGTAAGGTCTCTGCTCATTGCTGCATGCTCAGAACCTAGTAGTGCTTATTATATAATAGGTAATTAATAAATATTTAACGAGTGAATCTTCCAGCCAGCCGTGAATTCAGTCTTCTATTTAAGACTCCATTAGGAATCAACAAAATTTCTTTGCGGAGAAACAGAATGAAAAAATGATTTTGATATACTATTTTTAAGACTTTAGAATATTAAATATGAGAGAGGCAGTGCTTATGTAAATGTATATGTTAATGGACTAAAATAAGTGTATGTATGTTATCTTAGCTGTAAGAAGAAAAAACTGATTTTTAAAATAATTACTAAATTTCCTTTGCCTGCCATATCATTACGTACAGTTGCAGAATACATAGGAGAAAAAACCCACCAAAATAACAACCTTGGGGATGTCAAAATAACTCCTCTGAGGATGTCAAAGTAAAGTCTAATAATCAAAAAAGGCAATGGCCTACATAAAGACCTTCTCATAAAGAAAAGATACTTACTGGCATTTTATATATCTATTAAATTATTTTGAATTATTGAACTAAGTAGATGTAAAAGACTTGAGTCCAGAGTGGTTCAAAAAGAGAGTAGTCCCCTTAATCTCTAACTACACAATTTATTTTTATAACATATATCCAATTTGACTTTCTATTCTTATTAGCTTCTATGACCCAGCATTTTCAGAGCAAGTGAAAAACAGAACACATTTAAATATTATTTATAATTACTAATTTTGACTCATTAAAAAGTTAAATTTCTAAAATTTCAGGTTTCTATTTTAATTATAATTACTATTAAAAATGGATTTAAACATAATTAAATCTTTTAAAATTTATATTCTACCTTATTTAGAACTTAAGTCATTTGTATTTAACTTGAAATTTATTTTTAAATGCTAACAAGCTAGATCTTCGAAGATGAACCAAACCGTTTTCACCCTTTGAATTGTTTATTAGTTTTTCTTCTCTTACAGCTGAAATCAAAATAACTGAAATTATATAATTTTCTGGTATCATCAACCATCACAAAGTACTCTCATCCCTTATTATTTAATAAATACATAGAAGGGATATAATTTTAAGGTTTAAAACTATAAAAGTGCCTTCTACACTTGTATTATGTTAATTTGAAAATATTTTCAACAAGATAATTTAAGAACTTTTCAAGAGGTAAGAAAATATTTAGGTTTCAGGTTAATGCAATACCATTAAGATACTATTATACTTGATTTAAATTATATTTTTATTATGTCATTTAGCTAAATGTGAATCTTAGGCTTGATAAACTATCATGAAACTGAGATTAATGACCTCTTATGGAGATATTTTAGAAAGATTTCCCTTTTACCTCCGGTTTTCATATACTGTGGAAGAGTTCTCTCAAAATAAAATGGTCCACTAGCAAGAGGTGACAAATATACTAAATGAAAACATTAAACATGAATTGAATAATATGCTGTTTACTTAAAAAAAAAAGCATAACACATCCACAGTGAAACATTAACAAGGATATAAACACACTGCTGTTTAAGAACAATTAACCTTTAGGATGAGTTAGCATTTCTGTTTCCGAAAGCCTATTGTCCCAAGATCCTCATCAGTATCTTTACCTAAGTGTAATAAATTTGTACACAGATTCAAACCATTTCAAAAGTCCAGACTAGTATAATCAATATATTAGTGTTATATTAAAAAAAAAAACAAACAAACCAGCCAACCAGTGAATTATAAAATAATTACCCACTAGAGACAGTCTTCTCTGTCCTAAAGAAAAGAATGGAAAGATGAGCTCTCAATTGCATTCCTGTTTCTTGATTACTGAAGTTGCTTAGGGCACAGGCTCCTTTCAACAAGCAAATGCTAAGCTCATTATTCTAAAGGGAGCTATGCAGACACATTGAGGAGTACACATTGTAGCCACTTAAGGCCAGGTTTTGACTCCATAGGCACAGAACTCCATCCAAAAGGAACTCCAGAGATGGGTACATGCAAGAGCAGAATGTGGCCTTGGCAAATCACTTTCCTCACAACTTGATACTTTCACTGGTTATCCTTTCAAATCACGTGTTTTTGTTTGTTTGTTTGTCTATTTCGCATATTTAGAAGCAACAACAAATAATATGCTTCTACAATATCTCTTTGGAAAAATAAAGTATAGTCACAGGAGAAATTTGGGTGACATATTCATAGCCTCTTGGCAGGAGAGAAAAAAACTTTTTTTTTTGATTCAAAATAGCCAGTGAGAAGTAAGAAGCCAGGGATCACTTTCATTTCCCTGCAGGAAGCAATGACTTAAGAAAGAGATCAGTGATTTGCCCACAACTATTAAATAAAGGTTTTTTAGGAAGTCAGAAACTTAACTCTCATCATGTCTCTCTAAGTCTAATACTTTCTCTACTAGACTGCACTTCATTCTCTGGCCAACTGCTTTTCCTATGAATACATACTTTAATTAATGCATAAATATACAATTACTGTCAGATTCACATACTGCAGAATTTTAATTAGCAAAAAAAACATGTTTACAGGCATATTTCTTCTGTGAAATACCTATAAAATCAAACCAATGCATCACTTACTCTTTCCTTAATTCCACTGTATCTTCTTCCTCTTTGCTTAAAAAGTCTTAGAATTAGTTGTCATAAATAAAACCATTTTTATATAGAATAGAAAACAATGAACTGAGATGCTTAAGCTTACCGAACTTCTTGCTTTCTTTAGTTGTGCCAGTCATCTTGATCTTAGCAACTTCAAAGAAATCTTTAATTTCTCTCTCATACAGTCGTGATAAATAATCCATGTAATTCTTAAATAAAAATAACACGATAAATAATCCATGAAACTCTTAAAAGTAACATGTACTTCTCATTAATAAAATAAATATAACAACTTCCATTTTTAAATCCCCCCAAATCTTTCATGCTTGTTTCAAATTTTGTAGTCTAAAATTTTGATACATTTCATAGGATATAAAAAGTTGGCTATTTTGTGTTTTAAAAAAAAGTAAATAGGCATAACATTAACAATTTACAAAAATATGAAGAACATAATCACATTTATATTTTCATTTTTCTATGTTAACTTTCACACATTTTAAATATAGTTGCAATCACATGTATAGGATATGAGTCAGAGCAATCACATTTCTCCAGTCTCACACCTTAATGACTGCAAAGTATTGCACTTTGTTGATGTACCACAATTTAGTAAACCAGTTGTCTAACATAGGTCACTTAAGTGGTTTTAGTGTTTTGCTATGATAGGCAATGTTTCTTTTTCTCTTCTTTTTTGGCAATGTTTCAATAAGCTTTTCATTTCTAACGAACTGTTTCCTTAGAATAATTTCCTAAAGGTGGACTTATAGGATCAAAGAGTATGGGGATCTAACTTTTCCTCCATGATGCCATGTTGCGCTAAAATTACTATACCAATGGTGTCAATGGCAACAAAGGAGTACATTCAGTCTCACTGTACCCTAAAATAGGTTGTTTTCAATAAGAATTTAACTAATATATGTTTTCATAATTAAGTAATTTATTTTTAATAGACAAATTTATTTTAGCTCCAATGAAAACATCTATTATTTAGCACATAAATTCATTTCTTCATATCTGCTTATCATCACATAAAAATATTTTATACCCTCAGGAAGGATTCTTCAACAGTGGGAGACCATATAGTTTTCCAAGCACTAAATTACATGCCATACACATAGTTTGACTAAATATAAATAAATCTACGGCAGAAAAACCATACCTGGCTATTCTTTTAAATTTATCATGGATTCAAGCTTCAACTTCCTTTATTATATCAAGTTAATACATTGAGTTTCAGAACAGGTTTACCTTGTTATAAACATCTAGTGCACCTTTCAAAAGATATATTATGTAAATATTTGTATACTGACTCATTGTTCACCACCGTTTCCCATTTTATAGATATATCCTTATGAAACAGCATTTGGATGAAACATAATATAGACTGCTTTTTCAATTCACACTGTCTCTGTAAGAAAAGTTACTCAAATGGGTAATTCTTTCTCATGACCCTTGCATAGCTTTAAAAGCAAAAAGTAATTCCTAGTTTACTGGGCTCACTTTTTTAATGTCTCATTTTTCAAGTTTAAATTCTTATAGAAATAGCATTAAAAAAAAATAGAACAAAAAATCATCAGATTTGTAACGGAATCACAAAAGACCCTGAATAGCCAAAGCAGTCCAGAGAAAAAAGAACAAGGCTAGAAGTATAACACTGCCTGACTGCAAATTATACTACAAAGCAACAATAATCAAAACAGCATGGTAGCAGCAGAAAAACAGACACACAGACCAATGGAACAGAATTGAGAGTCTAGAAATAAACCCCATATATATGGGCAAATAATTTTTGACAAAGGAGCCAAAAATATACAATGGAGAAAAGAAGGCCTCTTTAATAAATGGTGCTGGGAAAATTAGAAAGCCACATGCAAAAGAATGAAACTAGACTGCTATCTCTTACCACACACCAAAATTAACTCAAAATGGATCAAAGACCTAAATATAAAACCTGAAACAATAAATTGCATAGAAGAAAACCTAGGTACTAAACTTATAGACCTTGGATTCAGAGAGGATTTTATGAATTTGACCTCAAAGGCAAGGGAAGTCAAAGCAAAAATAAATGAATGGGACTATGTCAAACTAAAAAGCTTCTGCACAGCAAAAGAAACCATCAACAAAACAAAGAAGCAACCACACCTCCGATTAGGGGCTAATATCTAAAATATATAAAGAACTAATACAACTCAACAACAAAAGAAACCAAACAATTCAATTAAAAAATGGGAAGAGGATCTGAAAAGACAGTTCTCCCAAGAAGACATACAAATGGCCAACAGACATATGAATAGATGCTTAACCTCACTAGCTATTAGGGAATTGCAAATCAAAACCACAATGAGATACCATCTCATACCTGTTAGAATGGCTATCATCAACAAGACTATAACAAGTGCTGGAGAGGTTGTGGGGAAAAAGGAACTCTCATATACTGTTGGCGAGAATGTAAATTGGCAGGGCCACTATGAAAAACAGTATGGAGGTTCCTCAAAAAATTAAGAATAGAATTACCATATGACTCAGCAATTACTCTTCTGGTATCTACCCCCCAAATCTGAAACATTTATTGTAAAGATATATGCACCCCTATGTTCACTGCAACTTTATTCACTGTGGCCACAGTGAAACGACTGAAGTGCCCTTTGACAGATGATTGAATAAAGATGTGGTACATATATACAATGGAATATAACTCAACCATAAGAAAAGATGAACTACTGCCATTTGCGACAGTATAGATGGATCCTGAGATTATCATGCTAAGCAAAATAAGTCAGACAGAAAAAGTTGAGAACCATATGATTTCACTCATATGCAGGATAGAAAACTGAAAGCAACAGACGAACAAGATAAACAAACAAAAACACATAGACACAGACAACAGTTTAGTGGTTACCAGAGGGGAAAGGGGGGAGGGTAGGGGTTAAATGTATGGTGACAGAAAAAGATTTAACTTTGGGTGGTGAACACGCAATGCAATATACATATGATGCATTACTGAACTGTACACCTGAAACCTATATAATTTTATTTGCCAACGTCATCCCAATAAATTTAATAAACAAACAAACAGTTTCAAAATAGCTATTTTTGTATCTAGAAAACAGTCAACTGAGCAGACTATTTTCAACGAGCAGAACTTTTTCAATGAGATTCAAATTATTGGATGATTTTTTCCCAGGTGCTCAATAGAACTCACTGGTGGGAAATGCCATAGACAAGTGTGAGTACCAGTTCATTCATTTTCCAAATTCTGAAAGATGTCTCTCACTGTGAATAGTATTCCTCTTAGCACCTTGTATACAGCACCTAACTTAAAACTTAACTATCATGAATTTAAATATTATCTCAGGCAGTCCTTTCAACTTTATTTTGTGCTGACTATAGAGTCTTATGGAAACCTCTAAATTTTACTTTTCCTTTAAACAAAATGGCAAATTCCATAAGTATAGACCTGTGGGTGAGGGAAGATGTCTGAGTAATCTTCAAGACTGACTGTCAACATCAGGAGGTAATGAGGAGGGGAAAGCTCATTTCCCACACAGGCAGGGATGGACCGCCTCTGTTATTAACTGCCCTACCTATATAACCCCTGCATAATCCAAACATAGGGGTTGTAGTCTTGGGGAGGAGGAAATGTGGGCAGCTGAGCTCATTACATGACCAAGGCACCTCTATTTCCCATAGCCTCTATTTATGTATACCCCAACTCAGTGCTTTCCTTAGATTCCAAATAGAGCTGGGGCAGTGCTTAATGACTCTTACCTAAAAAATTTGAGACAGGCTTTTCCAGTTATCAGAAAAAAGTGTGTACACCCAACCAAATGGAAATAGTATCTGGATTTAATTATTATCATTATTTTTTACTAAAGAAACTCTTGGTTGCATGTGTCTTTCTTTCATTCTTTTATTCCTTTCTTCCTTCATCCTTTTTAATAAACTTCCTGTTTTTAATAACACTTCAGCAAACAAATTAGATTATGAGGTAAAATGCAGTCTGTCAAAAGTTCAAACCACAGGATCAAGTAACATTCTTGGGATATAAGTCAACTTCATTTAAAAAATCTGATTAATATTGTCAATCCAAAATATACTGTGAGCAAAGAATGATTCCATAAATCATCACGAGGTTGGCTATAGTCTTGTTTCTTCACTTTAAATTACATTTATGAATATTGCATTATATATAAAGATAAGGCAATAATACTCACTGAGAACACAATTAGGCAAAAAGCTTATTGATTACTTATTTGAATATTCACTAAGGGACAAAGCACTTGTTGGCCCAAAACTCTTAAGGAGATATAATAATGTTTAATTATTCAAAATATTAATCCTCCTAAAACTTCAAAAGGCAAAGAATTCCAGTAATGTAAATATTTTTCCTTAAGTTATCTCCAAATCAGAATTCTGTTGAATGAAAACAAAACAAAATATAACATAACAGTAGAGTTGCATAACACTTAGAAGACTAATTCTGAGGAACAAAAATAATCTTGCCTAAAATGGCTAGCCAGATAAGATGTATATAAACTCCTCAGGATATTTACATGCTTTGTGAAAAGCATTTTTATTATAATTTATAAATATTATTTATTTTACCAAGGTTTATGTCCCCTATCTTATGATCTCAGTTTAGAAGTAGAGGGAGCCAGATTTTACTTTAAATAGGCAAAGGCACTTTTAAGAGACAATACACGAAGACTGATATATAAGAATGTCCTATTGCCAAATATGTTGATGTTAATACATTGGTAAGAATGTACAATCTGTCTTTTTCTTACCATCATACTTATCATAAATTTCTACCTAACTGGTTCTCTGCCTTCTCATGAGACATGAACTAATGCTACTGCATAGGAGCTACAATAATTATTTCAATAAATATAAAGACAAAATGGGTTCATATAAAAACATTAATTGCCCGAGAGAGAATAATCTCCACTTATAAAACACTCTGAAAGATAGCTCTATCTTCTGAATAAAACTATGCAAAAAGTAGGAATAATTTATGCTAGCAAAACTAGCAAAAAGTAGGATAAAATGTTATCTAAATTCTTTGTTAGAAAGTTTTTGCCACATGCACATGGGTGGAGGGGATAAGCCTTTACATTAATAATTCCAATATTCTCACTCCACTGAGACAAAACACATGATTCTATCAAATTCAAGAACATCTTTTAAGGCTGTATTTTCCACATAATTAAATTTACTAGTTATTAAAATAGCTTATGCATTACTTGGGTTTTTTATTTTTAAACTCCAAATTTGTAAAACTTACAGATAAGATTCTACATGTCACTCACAGTATTTCAGATTTTAAGTAAACTGCTCTTACATGTAATATATAAATATAGCTATTTATATATTTATGTTAGAGATCAACTCTTTAGCTCCCTAAATGACAAGGTTAATTCCAATACTAAAGGTCACAGCATAAATGCCAGAAAAACACTATATCCATGGCTTCCGGCTACAATGGCCATTTATTAAATCTAAGTCAGACCACGTCATTCCTCTGCTCAAAACCCGCCAATATCCCTTTCCCCCCATCTCCCTCACAGTAAAAGCCAAAATCTTATGGTGCAGAGTCTGCTCCAGATCTGCAGTGCCCCACCTCATCTTCTCTCTCTCACCTGCCCTTCTAAGGTCCTGTCCCTTGTTCACTGTGCTCCAACCACACGGGCCCCCTCACTGCTCAAGCACACAGGCATGCTCTTGCCTTAGGGCGTGTGCACTGCCCCTTGAAAGCTTTCTCCAGGTGGCTCCCACCACCTGCCCCTGATTATAAAATCTGTGCTCAAATGCCACCTCTCATGATGCCTTCTTTGACCATCCTATTTGAAACTGTAACCTTTCCCCAGACCTGGAATTCCTGCTTAATTTTCTCCAGAGCACTCAGCAGCACTTTTTAACATATATATCTTTTTTTTTTTTGGTCAGTCTTTCTCCAACACAATATGCCCTCTCAGAAGGCAAACGTTTGCCTGTTTCTTTCAGTGCTGTAACTCCAGCATTTACAACAGTGTTAGTTCGGTATGTAATAGGTATTCAATTCATTTGCTGAATGAACACATGAATAAATGATTCTTAGTTTCCCCAGTTGCTGACATTGTGATATATGCCACAGCTCTTCTAACCTCCACGCCTGGCAATCTGGCATTGACCTTTCCCTCCGGTCTTTGGATTTTCTCTTTTGGTTTATATTCTCTTTCTATTCCTATCACCGTTTTCCTGGTTCAAGATTTCACTTCATTTGAATTATTACATTAGGTTCTTAATTAAGTCCCCCCATCTTTTGTCTTGT